AATCGTGGTCTAGGACAGAGAACTGTAACACTCAGTAGGTGGACTTCCTTAGCCTCTTCAGAAATTTTCAAAGAGCTCATTGAGCCCAGCAGATCTGGATGTCACACAGAGGAACTCAAATGTCTCCACAGTTCTCTCCAGCTCTGATGCTTCAGAAGAGAAAATGTTGCAACTTTTGGGAAGAGAAACTATGGTGGATACAGAGATACTGTTATCAGAGGGGTTGAGGAAAACAGTCTAGGTCTCAGGTAATTGTGTCAGAAAGACCATACCTAGAGTGGTCCTCCCTGCTCACATCCCCTTCTGTTAAGTGTGGGCAAGACCTGTGAGTTGCTTCTAACCAACAAATTAGAGCTAAGGTTACCAAATGTTATGTTCAAGATTAGATTCAACTATATAACAATGAGATATTACTTTCGTGGTTAGGTTACGCTGTATATAAGACTCTGTTTTGGCCCTGGCTGGTTTGGCTCAGCAGTTAGAGCACTGGTCCACAGACCAAAGAGTCTCAGGTTCGACTCCTGGTCAAGGGTACATACCTGGGTTGCAGGTTCAATCCTCAGCCCCAGTTGGGGTCATGCAGGAGGCAACCAATTAATTTGTCTCTCACATTGATGTTTCTTTCTCTCTCTCCCCTCCCCCCGCCACCCCTTTCATTCTATCTAAAAGTTAATGGAAAAATATCCTCCAGTGAAGATTAACAACAACAACAAAAGGACTCTGGCCATGGCTGGTTTGGCTCAGCGGTTAGAGCATCGGCCCATGGACCAGTGAGTTGCAGGTTCGATTTCGGTCAAGGGCATGTACCTTGGTTGTGGTTTGTCTCTGGCCCTATTCGGGTCGTGTGGCAGGCAACTAGTCAATGTGGCTCTATCACATCGATGTCTCTCTCTCTCTCTGTCTCCCTCCCTCCCACTCTATTTGATAATAAGTAGAAAAATATCCTCGAGTGAGGAATTAAAAAACAAAACAAAATAAAACAAAACTCTGTTTTGCTAGTGCACACCAGAGACATGTGTAGACCTGTGGAGAGGATCATGTGGCAAGCAAGTGTGGGCAGCATCTAAGAGCTCAGATTGGCCCCCTGGCCAACAGTCAGCAAGAAAACAGGACCTCAGTCCTGTAAACATAGGAGGTGAATTCTGTCAATAAGGTGAAGAGCTTGGAAGCATGTATCTCTCCAGTCAAGCCTATGATGAGACCATAATCCTGACCAATTCCTGGACAGCAGCATGGTAAGACCCCAAGGCAGAGAACCCATCTAAGTTGTGCCTGGACTTCTGACCTACAGAAATGATGAGATAATAAATGTGGTATTATAAGCAAAAAAGTTTGTGGCAATTTGTTCTGTGGCAATAGAAAATTAATACAGCCCTGGCCGGTTTGGCTCAGCGGTTAGAGCATTGGCCTGCGGTCCTGAGAGACCCAGGTTCGGTTCCCGCTAAGGGCATGTACCTCGGCTGCAGTTTGTCCCCGGCCCTGGTTGGGTCGTGTGGGTGGCAACCACTCGATGTGTCCCTTTCACGTCGATGTTTCTCTCTCTCTCTCTCTCTCCCTCCCACTCTCTCTGAACAAAAAAAAAATAGGAAAAAAAAAGAAAGAAAAGCAATGGTGTGCCCAGTTGGTGTGGCTCAGTGGTTGAGCATTGACCCATGCGCCAAGAGGTCGCCAGTTTGATTCCCTGTCAGGGCACATGCCCAGGTTATGGGGCAAGCAGGAGGTGGCTGATCGATGTTCTCTCTCATCAATGTTTCTATCTCTCTCTCCCTCCTCTCTCTCTAAAATCAATAAAGAAAAAAAAAAAAGAAAATTAATACAATCATGATGTCCTGGGGTTGGCAGAAATTTTCTCTCTCCTTTTAGCTTTCCTGTTCTGTCATTCCTTTCTCTCTCTCTCTCTGACTCTCTCCCAGCTTTCATCTTTATCTCCTCTTTCTATCTTTATATTCCTTTCTCAAATACTAGCTGCCAGTGTGGCTTTGCTCAAGCCACAGCTCAGTCATACATCAGATCCATGGCCTTGGGCAAATTACTTTACCCGTCTGGCCTTCAATTTCCTGATCTGTAAATAGAAATAATAAAAAGGTTGTTATGAGGATTAAAAGACATAATGCACATAAATGCTTAGCCAGAGTTTGTGGGTACAGTGAGCAGGAAAAATATATGAATGCTGGGGGAAAGTCTAGGGCCCAATGCAAGGTATGAACTCCAAGCTGGGAGCCCTGAGGAGCTAGGCAGGATTTCTTTGGCTTTCATTAATTCATCTGACAACATTCAATTTGCATACCATATGCCAGGCCCTGGAGAAATAGGACTCTGCCATGGTCCCTGCCTTCTTAGTTGAGCTCCAATTCCGGGAACATTTCTGTTTCTGGGTGCCAGCAGTGGAGACAGGTCTGCACTGCCTTCTCCTTACTCTTACCAAACCCACCATGCCACTGACTGATGATTTCTTTTTTAAAAATTTTTCTTTATTGATTTTAGAGAGAGAGGAAGGGAAAGGGAGAGAGAGATAGAAACATCGATGAGAGAGGACATCAATTGGCCGCCTCCTGCATGCCCACCACTGGGGATTGGGCCCACAACTTGGGCATGTGCCCTGACCAAGAATCAAACTAGTAACCTCTTGATGCATGGATCGATGCTCAACCATTGAACCACACTGGCTGGGCTGACTGATGATTTCTTTAGCAGCTGACCTAGGATCACTTCTCTCTGGATGGTTTGAATCATAGGCTTGTGATGTGGGTAAGTGTCAACAAAAACCATTGGAAGTAGTATAGAGAACAACTGGTTTAACAACTTATTACATAGAAGGGGAAACTGAAGCCCAGAAAAGAAGAGAATTTGCCTAAATTAACAGTTGGACCTAGACAGCAATCCTTACTCTCAAAGAGCTAACAACATATGAAGGAGACAATTCCAGACACATGAAAAATAAAGGGACATGGAGGGGTAGTACATAGGCAGAGAGGAAAGGAGAGGACCCAAATCAGTGGCCTCGCTAGAATAAAACACAGAGGTGGGACAGTTTAAAATGAACCCATGAGGTAGAAGAGATAAGATGGAAAGGTCAGGTGTGGTGGAGAACCATGAACACCCTGCTAAGTAAGGAGCTGGTGTAGAACCATAAAGAAGAGGGAAGAGCCCAGCCAGTGTGGTTGAGCATGGACCCATGCACCAGAAGGTTGCCAGTTAGATTCCCAGTCAGGGCACAGGCTCAGTTGTGGGCCAAATCCCCAGTGGGGGGCATGCAGGAGGCAGCCCATTGATGTTCTCTCTCATCAATGGTTCTATCTCTCTCTCCCTTCCTCTCTCTCTAAAAATCAATAAAGAAGAGAGAGAAGAGTGAAGAGTGGGTAACAGGCCAATTCTGTTTTCAAGGACAACAGGTAAAGTGTGACAATGCTCTGTAACCATGGGTCCAAGAGGAAGGCAGAGCCTGTCGCTTCTAACATAAATATCAAATGACCTCAAATCACTTTAGGAGGTGGGAGGGGGTTTCTCCTGTGTGGGAGTCTCACTCTCATGCCTCCTCCACTGCTTCTTGGTTTTCTGATCTCTGTCCCTCAATGACCTAAATGCTCTCTGGTAGGGGCAGAGGCTTAATATGCTGATCCTTGTTATCTCTGGATTAACAACTCTGCTATTTGCAAGGTCTATGACCCCTGATAATACTTTTTACTGATGTACAAGTATGTTTTGTACAGAAGAAGCAGTGATGACCTAATACTTGGGAACACAGGTTTTGAAATCACACCTGATTCAAATTGCTTAACCTCTCCGTGCCTCTGTTTCTTAAAAAAAAGGGGGGGGGCATTTATTTTTTGCTCCACTTATTTATGCATTCATTGGTTGTTTCTTATATGTGTCCTGACCAGGATCAATCGACAACCTAGGCACCTTGGCATATAGAGAGGAGTCTCTAACCAACCGAGCTACCAGGCAAGGGCCTCCGCCTCTGTTTCTTAATCTGCAAAGTGGGGAGAATAAGTATAACTATATCAAGGCAATAACTATATTAAGGCAAGCACTGTTGCCCATTGGGCAGTGAACTAAGCATGAGAGTAAGAGGTATTCTCTATGACCCAGCAATTCCTCATGGCCAGAGAAGTTTTCACCAAGTGATGTTGTATAATGCTGCTGGCAGCCCTTACATGCCCATCAAAAGTAGGGGATGCACACCGGGGAGCAAGGAACTAGATTCATATAGCAAAGCAGTTTTTAAAACGTTAGTATAGGAGGGGGGAAGGAAATAAGAGATGTAGAGTCCAATGCCATCTGTGTAAATTAAAATTCTGACACAAACAATGCTACATCAAATACAGGGGAGAGGGGAGAGGATTGGGGTGAAAGTAAAGATAAGAAACTGGCCTTGACCTGATGGTAAGGTGCAACGGACTGAGGAGTGTGGGCAACAACAAACCAAAAACAAAAAACACCGTGCAGTCAAAGGTGTTTCCTGCCAGTGACTAGCGAACTTTCCCGGCCCATACGCAGAGAGGGGACGCGCCCTCCTCTGCCCTCACCCTCCTCCCTTCATCACAGTCCTGCACGGTCAGCCGGATTGGCTCCGCTGCCTCAGCCCCCTTGGGACCTTGCCAGGGCCCTGGGACCTTGCCAGGGCCCTGGGCCCTGGAGGGCAATCACGCCTTTTAAAGCTCCGGGCGTGGGTGCTGGTGTTTAGTCCTATCCCTGAGCCATTCCTGTTCCCTTCTTCACAGCCCAGGCCAACGCACTGGGGACTCTGTGTCCCACTCCAACTAGGGGTCACCCACTCTCGGGAAGCCTAGACTGGGATGCAGGGGATTTGGGACCAAATCCTGAAACGCACTGAGCGACTATCCTTCCTTCTACTGGTCTCCATCTTTCCGTGCACAGTGGACGCGCTGGCCATCGCCTCGGCCCGGGCAGCAGCGCCAGGCGCCCCCCCCCGCCCCCAGCTCTGCTCCGGCTCGCCCCAGCCGGCTCCTGGGTGCTTCCGGGGAGAGCGCACTCACCTTTGTCGGGACCCGCCAGGGCGCGCACTTGGATCTCCGGGCCCCGGGCCGCTCCATCCGAGGCGTAGCTGCGGGCCCGGAGGGGTCTCCAGGGGAGCGTTAGGCGCAGGGCGCTGGTCAGGGCGTGCTGCATGAGGGCGCCCGCTGGGTAGGTGCTGCCCGGCTTCTCCACCGCCTCCTCTCCCACTGAAAGCTCTCAGCTCGGCCGAGAGGCCTTCGCAAATTGCTCCACCTATGGGCCGACAGGCCCAAGCCGCCCTCCTCACCTCTCGAAGACCCGGAGACCTGGGTGGGGTGGAGTGGGGGTGGGGGGAGCCCAGCTCCGCGTTATGATTTGGGGCAAGGCTGTCAACCTTTCTTAAGCGTCAGTGTTTTAATCTGTAAAACGGACATGATAAATGACTACTGGAAAAGTAAAGGCAAATGCCAGTTAAAGTACCCACAACAGATTTGAAACGGTACTACGCTATCGCAAACGGGAACGACCGGCCTGAACTGAACTATTTGGGCAGGGGCGGGAGTTCACAATCTGTTGGCGACCCAGTCGAACTCAGCCGCTGGATAAAAAGCTTTTCAACCTGGTATCAGCCATTCCGGTTTAGGTCCTCTGCCATAAGGAATGTGGTCTTGAGCAGGGTCTGAGATTGAGAGCAGGGATTGGCCAGAAACCGGTTTCACAAAAGTGTAGCCTGGGGAAAATTTTTGGATTGTTAGAATTGTTCTGTATCCTGTTTATGGTGGTAGTTTAGAAGAGTCAGTGCTAAAAGGCCCAGGTTGGGAGGGATTTCATGACATATATGTCTAAAACGCAGGAAAAACTAAAGTTCAGTCACTAGTTCTGTGACCTTTTTAACCTATCTGAAATTCATTCTCATGCCTCGTTTTTTTAGGATTAAAGAGGTGACAGAAACAAAGGCTTTAGCCCCTTAATTTGTTATGTATATTTGATGCTTTTTATTTGCTGATTCTGATTGCAAATCTGTCTACTCACAAAAATTTACTTGTAACCCCAAAATCAATACTCAAAATGCTCTTGAGATGGCAACAGTTTTGAGTGGTGCCATGTGCCTGTTCGCAGGTGAGGTAGAACAAGACCATGCAGTACCTTCTTGTTTCAGCTTTCATGCTGTAAACCAGTGTCCCTATCATGATCTATTTTGTTCTACATTTTTTGCATTTTGTCCTTTTTGTTGGTGATTTCACTGTTTAAAAATGTCCCTAAGCCAGGCCAGTGCGGCTCAGTGGTTCAGACTTGACTCATGCACCAAGAGGTCGCCAGTTTGCTTCCCAGTCAGGGCACACACCCAGGTTGTGGGCCCAATCCCCAGTGGGGGGCATGCAGGAGGTAGCCAATCAGTGTTCTGTCTCATCGATGGTTCTATCTTTCTTTTCCTCTCCCTTCCTCTCTCTCTAAAATCAATAAAGAAAAAAATAAATAAATAAATAAAAAGTCCCCAAGGCTAAAGTGCTGTCTAGTATACCTATGTTAATTGCAGCATTGTTTACAAAAGCTAAGGTATAAAAGCAACTTAGGTGTCCATCAATAGATGAATGGATAAAGATGTGGTAAATATATACAATGGAATATTACTTAGCCATAAAAAGAATAAAATCTTGCCATTTGTGACAACGTAGATGGACCTAGAGAGTATTGTGGTAAGTGAAATAAATTAGATAGAAAGACAAATACCATATGATTTCACTTATATGTAGAATCTAAAAAAAGAAATGAACAAACAGAATAAAACAGAAACAAACTCATAGATACAGAAAACAAACTGATGGTTATCAGAGGAGAGGTAGGTGGGGAAAAAGAGGTGAATCATGGCAGGTAGTCTTGTCCTAGGCTGGTATCTTCCTGGACAAAGGTCAATCTTTACCTTAACTGATCCAGCCTGTATATTGACTAGCTTTTAGGAATTTCTGTGTTCAGACCATCTCATGTGGTTACTTTTGGTTTCCTGAGTTTATAAGGCCTGCCATGCAGGCCTCCCCTGAACTTGTCACAGTTTTAGTGTGTGGCCTCATTTTCATCCACACTAGGAATTCACAGTCACAAATATATTTTTTTAATTTTTAAAATTGATTTTAAAGACAAGGCGGGGGGGACACATTGATTTGTTGTTCCACTTATTTATGCATTCATTGGTTGCTTCTTGCATATGCCCTGACTGGGGATTGAACCCACAACCTTGGCATATCAGGTAGATGCTCTAACCAACTGATCTACCTGACCAGGGCACAAATATTTTTGCAGTCCAATTACTGAGCATAAAACTGAGATGAGTTGAGGTGTATATGGGAGGTGAAGCAGTGAAGTCCATGAAGGTAGACAATTCCAGAATGAAATGAAATGACATTTAAAAAATGACATAACATTGAGCATATCTATCTACAAAAAGCTACATAGCAGTGCTCTGCTTCCCAGGAGCATGCTCATGCCTTCCCTCTCAGACATGCATTTCCTAAACTCTAAGGGTTCCCATGAGACTTGCAACCAGGGGAACAATGGGCAGCATTAGCTCTTTAGGGCTAACCCCCTGAACCTGCCTTTAAAGCCCCCTTTCCTCTGACTTTCCAGTGAGCCAAAGCAGCCTCGCCTAGGCTCTCTCCTGTTGCTTCTATCCTAAGCCCTGCCTTGTTTCACTGTCCCTAGCTTTATTTTATTTTATTTTATTACTTTACTTTACTTTATCCTCACCCAGGGACATTTTCCCATTCTTGTTCAGATAGAGTGGGAGGAAGAGAGAGGAAGAGACAGAGAGAGAGAGAGAGAAACATCAATGTGAAAGGGACACATCAAGTGGCCACCTCCCTACCTTTAATAAATGTATTCTCAGAGCCTGGCCAGTGTGGCTCACTGGTTGAGTATCCACCCATGCACCAAGAGGTCCTGGTCAGAGCACATGCTCAGGTTGTAGGCCCAATTCCCAGTCGGGGGCATGCAGGAAGCGGCCAATCAGTGTTCTCTCTCATGGATGTTTTTGTCTCTCTCTCTCCCTCTCCCTAAAATCAATAAAGAAAAAATATAAAAAATAAATAAATGTATTCTCAGAGAAGAGAGGAAGAGAGAAGGAAAGAAGGAAAGAAGAGAGAGAGAGAGAGAGAGAGAGAAGAAAGAAAGAAGAAAGAAAGAAAGAAGAGAAAGAAGAGAAAGAAAGAAGAGAGAGAGAAGAGAAAGAGAGAAAGAGAAAGAGAGAAGAGAGAAGAGAGAAAGAGAAGAAAGAAAGAAAGAAAGAAGAAAGAAAGAAAGAAAGAAAGAAAGAAAGAAAGAAGAAAGAAAGAAAGAAAGAAAGAAAGAAAGAAAGAAAGAAAGAAAGAAAGAAAAGAATTACATAACACTCCCCACCCTCAAACCTGCGCGCGCAACCCCGCGCGTCCTCGCAGGCGCAGGCGCCCCTGTCCCGCCCCTTCCACCCTCTCACAGCCTTCCGCCCTCGTCTGTCCCCAACCCTGAGTGAGCTGGAGTTCCCCTGTGGATTCCTTCTGGCAGCACCCCTCTCCGTTGCACTGCGTCCGCTGCGTCGGCCTGCGACCTGCTCCGCACAGTTGAAGCCATGACTCCAACCCCCTCGCAGAATCGGCTCCTGGGCCGCCGGGTGTTCGTGGTGGGGGTTGGGATGACCAAGGTAACCGAGCAGCGGTTCCCCAAAGGCAGGCTCACTGCTCCGCTGTGTCCGGGTGTGGGCAGCTGTGTCCGGGTGAGGGCAGCTGTGTCCGGGTGAGGGCAGCGGAGTCCCGAGGTTACCAGGGACGGGCGCGGGGAGGCGCGGGCCAGGGTCAGGGCCTTACACTGGCGGTGGTCGGTCCTTCCAACCTGGAGGGCGCCTTCCAACCCACCGCCCGCGGATATTGGCCTTTGGGGATCAGAGTGGCAACTCGGGTGGGTTGTAATGTAGGTGCCTCTGAGGGATTGTAGTGCCTCCAGGTTTTTCAGGCGGCAGTTTCCTCTTCCTCATTCCATTTCTTCCTGGCGTCAGTTTGAGAAGAACACAGCAAGATAATCTGCAGTCCACATATCCTTTGACTCTGAGGGGACCTTCAAAGGAGGCAAGGTCCACCTCACTCCCAAAGGGGAAGCAGGTGGTGAATGTCACCGCTTTGCACTCCTAGGAATACGGTAGCCCCCACTTATCCACAGTGTCAGTTACTTGCAGTCAACCACTAGAAAATATTAAGTGGAAGGTTCCAAAAATGCACAATGCATAAATTTTAAATTGTACATTGTTCTAAGCGGCATGATGAAACCTCTTAGCATCCCACTCCATCCAGCCTGGTATGTCCGTCATCCCTTTGTCCAGTTATCCATGCTGTACACGCCCTGTATGCACTACCCACCTAATTACTTAGCAGCCATGCACCTAGCAGCCATCTCAGTTATGAGCAAGACACCACATTCACATAACTTGTATTACAGTATATTGTTACAATTTTTTATTTTATTATTATTGTGCCTAATTTGTAAATTAAACTTTATCATAGATATGTATGTATAAGGAAAAAAACAAGTATATTTAGGGCTAAATACTATTTGTGGTTTCAGAGATCCACAGGGGGTCTTGGAACAAATCCTCCAATGATAAGAGGGGATTGCTGTACCCCCCTCCCCATTCCTTCTCAGGAACATTTTGAAGTGTGGATGAGAAGGAGAATATTAGCAGTGCTCAGCGTCTTAGCACAAGAGTTTTCTGGATCTTCCAACCTGTTTGTTTCTCAAGCTTGGCACTTAGGAGGCCAGAGGCTCCTACAGTCTTTTTTTTTTTTTTTAAGAACATATTTTATTCTGAAAATAGATATTGAAGATCTACTATACTAGATGCCCAACTCCATGATGGTGGAAAATAAATAATAGTAACAACAGCTTTCATTTTTTGAATTTACTATGTTCCAGGCACTGTGCCAAGCACTTAACATTCATAATCTCATTTAATTCTCCCAATAACTTTATGCGGTATGTGTATTTTTATTTATTTATTTATTTTTTTGTTACAGCTGTTTCTCCTTTTTTACCCCATTGACACCCTCCTCCCCATCCCTCCCACCCCGACCCCGGCTTTGTTGTCCATGTCCATTGGTTATGTGTACATGTATATTAAGTTCTGTGGTTTATCTCCTCCCTCCCCCCACCACCCCCTCTTCCAAGGGTTGTCAGTCTGTACCCTACTTCCACGTCTCTGGGTCTACCCTATTCCTCAGACTGTTATATTCATTATATTCCACAAATAAGTGAGATCATGTGGTATTTGTCTTTTTCTGCTTGGCTTGTTTCACTTAGGATAATGCTTTCCAGGTCTCTCCATATTGTCTCAAAGGATAAGAGATCTTTCTTTCTTACAGCTGCATAGTACTCCATTGTGTACATGCACCACAACTTTTTTATCCATTCGTCTACTGATGGACTCTTGGGTTGTTTCCAGATCTTAGCTATTGTAAATAGTGCTGCCATGGCCAGCTAGCTCAGTTGGTTAGAGCGTCATCTTGATACACCAAGGTTGTGGGTTTGAACCCCGGTCAGGGCACATACAAGATTCAACCAATGAATGCATAACTAAGTGGAACAAATCAATGTTTCTCTCTCTGTCTATCTGTCTCTCTCTCCTTCCTTCCTTCCCTCCCTCCCTCCCTCTCTCCCTTACTCCTTTCCCTCTAAGATTAATTTTAAAAAATCTGGCTAGTAATTATTTTGGGGGTGGTGTGGGGATTGAGATTGGGACAGAGTGCCTAGGGGAGTTTCTGGAGTGGCAGGCAAAGTTCAGTTTTTTGGTCTGAATGGTGATGTTAAAGATAAAAGTGAGCACTAGGTAAACTATTAGGACATTTTAATCAGTAATATACTATTGCAAAGGGAAAGAGTCCAATATAAGTTGAACTTAACTTTGATTTATATAGAGGTGACTGAGTGTTTTAAAGGGCAAATGAGGCCCTGGCAGGTTTGGCTCAGCGGTTAGAGCATCGCATCGGCCTGCAGACCAATGAGTCGCGGGTTTGATTCCGGTCAAGGGCACGTACCTCGGTTGTGATTTGTCCCCGACCCTGGTTGGGGTTGTGTGGGAGGTGTTGTAACCCAGGAGATCGACCACGCTCAGACTCAATTTTTCAGTTTTTGGGGATGTTTTATTACCTGCGCAGGGACTGCAGCCAACCTACACAGAGGAGAACTGCAGCCCCAAGCTCAGGGGGAGGGTTGCTTATATAGGGCAGGGGTCATTCAAGAGTTTAGCAGAGCAAGCAAGCTGCTTGTACAGAAGCGGAGGCAGTTAGCGATAAGCAGGAGGGAACGGAGGTGGGAGGGAGCTGAGGCGAAAGGGAACTGGGTAAACTGGGTCAGCATACATCTATCCTGCTATTCATTCCATTATCCAAGTTTTAAAAACTAACAAATTCGAAACGGATATCAGCGGTCAGTCAGGTGCAATACACACATGTTTAACAGTTACAGTTTTATGGAGTAAAGGGAGCTTCAGTTTCTCCCTATCAGTTTCTTTACAGAGCATGCAGGACACTCTGGCTTTGGGGCCATTTCTGTCCTCCCTTTTCCTGAAGGATGTTGCTTTTCAAATTCCCAGTGAAGGTCAAACTCTGGTTAATTTTTATGGGGCTAAAGCCCTCTATAACATTCCCCATTGTTCATCTTGCTGTCTCTGAGGTTGTTAATTAGGGCAGTTTAAAGACAAGTTGGATTCTAAGAACAGTGAGCTACAACATTCCCCCCTTTTCTTGTGAGTGGATCAAACCATTGATTCACAATCGTCATGGGGAGACAATCTCTAGTAGGATTGTGCTAAGACCCTAAGTTTTACTGATTAGACTCTCTCTCTGATGAAGGCTAGGAGTCTATTAATTAGGATGGGTTTATAAGTCATTCCGATTAATAATAACAGTAGGGGCCCTGCTATAGCTGAAATCAGGGACGTTAGCTATGGTGACTAATTAAATAAGTTTTCATATTAATTATGGGAGACCTGTTCTCCTTCTCTTAGGTTTTTTGTCTTAGAATTTGGATGCTCTGTCTGATTATACCTGAATGGTTGGCATAGAAATAGCAGGTTTCGCCTAAGGCTGCACATAGACCCTCTTGTGGTTGACATTTCTTAAGATTTTTTCCAATATTTTATTTTTAAGTACCCAGTTCTACTGGGGTCTAGATCTATAAAGATTCCCCTGTACAGTTATAATTAGAAAAATTAGAGTCCCGATAAACGTAAGAGTCTCATTTTTAAGGGATCTGGAGAGGTCTGCACTGTTTATTCTGCTTTTTTTGCCTTCAACCAGGAATGATGCAGCTAGACCGGGATGCCATTGACCTTGATAGCCGTTGGTGAAGGCAGGATGACAGTGTATGGTCCCTTCCAGACCAGAGTTAGTCCTTGGATGGTGAATTTCTTTATTTGCATTGAGTCCCTGGCTGGAAAGGGTACACAGAGTCTGAGGTGGGCACAGGCAGGGCATCGCAGATGTGTTTATGGATGGCCTTCTGGGCAGACTGCAGGGCCTGTAAGAACTGTAAGAGGCCGAGGGGAGCAGAGTGGTCCAGTTTTCACCGGTTTCTAAAGTAAATTTGGTTAAGGTTTCCTTTAATGTCCTGTTCATGCGCCCTACCTGCCTGGAACTCTGTGGGCGGTAAGCACAATGGAGCTTCTAATTTATATTTAATCCCTTAGAGATATCCTGTGATATCTTTGCTATCAAGGCGGGGTCATTGTCTGATCTAAGGGTCAGGAGTAGCCTAAACCTGTTACTCCCTTTATTGCATCCTAGACTATTATTCTATTACTAGGGGCAAGTTCTCCCCTCTCAGTGTCTTATCTTCTTCCCTTCCTGAGTATTCCTCTACTGTCCTGTCTTCCTGTAATATGTATGCCCCTATCTTTCTTCTTCCTATCTTTTTATTTTCTCTGCATAATCCTTCTTCAACTTACATAGATTCTCTGTGACTTTTCTAGTCCCTCCCCTGACATGAACCTGAGACCTTGTTTAATCTATCTGCTGTCTGCATATCCCCTAGCCTTTTTCTTTTCCTCCCTATTTAGACCTATATATTCCTGCTTCCTTCTATCTTTTCCTTTTCCCTGTGACCTTATTGGACATTATCTGCCTCCCAGGAGTTCAGTAAGCTTGGTGTAACCTAAGAGGGTAGGCTGGTGCAGCTGGTTGACTAAAGTCCAACCTAGAGCCTCTGGGACCAACAATCTCCCAGCAGGCAGTGTCTATTATTCGTTGATTTTCTTTATGACTTGTTTCTGCTCAGTTAAGTCATTTTCTGACCCAGTGTAAGTAGGAGTCAGAGGTGAACTTGGGTTTGGTGTGGTAACTGATATCTGGAGAGGTTCCCCACTGGTTTTAGGGCCACATGTTGATCTTCCTTATTTGCAGCATGGTTTCCCCTTGTCTCATCAGAGAGCCTGGATTAGGGCTATGAGTTCAGCCCATTGGGCTGAAGTTCCCCTATTTAATGACATGGTCCAGAGTTACTATTGCTGCCCCGGCATACCTGATATCTTCCTGGACATAGTTGCTCCCATCCGTGAACAATACCTTATCTGATGATGGCAGTGGGTCATCCCTGAGGTCTGGGCGGCCGGCTGCAGTGTCGATTGCCTCCAGGCCGTCCTGCAGAGGTTACTCCGGG